AGGGCTTTATTATTTTCTTGGTGCTTCTTTTTTGACTAATTTTGATGTTTTTTCTGATTTAATTTTCTTACATAGATCATTGCTCAGTTCCTGCAATTTGCCCTTGGAATAATGTGGGCCAGCACTTATTTAAAGACCATAATACARTGCCATGGAAGAGAGATGGGAACATGAACTAAGAAAATTCAATGGGCAGGCCTCTTGACCTGCTATGATCTTTGGTACTTCTTATGATTAGCAGTCATGCTATGGTTATTTTTTCCATAGCTCATCTACTTCAGACCATATTATTTTTTCTTCATCTACACACACTTGTCAGAAAGTAAAAGACCATTAGTAGGAGCAGAAATCTGTAAGGAACTGTGTTTTATTTAGTATATCCATCTAAATCTGAAATTGGCACTATTCTGTCTGTGACATCTGTGAAAAACAAGAGGCAAATTTTCCATTTTCAAGTAATTTTCTAACCTATTTACTGCTTACATACTAAATGGAAAATGTCATGAAGGGAACACTTTTAAGTAGTTTGTTCTTTTCCTGTATGTTTTCACAAGTGGGAAGGCAAAGGTCCATTTTAAAGAAGTGTCTATTCATTTAGGTGTGTTATCTTATTTTGCCAGACTCTTGGACATGTTGAAAGGCTCAATGGTAATGAACAAACAGGTCCAGGGCTGAACAAAGAGTAAATCTTGTCTAGCTGGTAGCAGCAAGACACCCTTACCCTGATCATCTGGCAGAGGAAAATGCAATGCTCAATTTGCCACCATTTTCCAATAGCTTTTGCCATTTTCCATCAGCTTTTGCCATTTTSCATTAGCTTTTGCCCACCCTGCACTGCTGTTGAGTTGCTCAGAGCTGGAAAAACTCCTGGTGCTACTCTCCATTGGAAGCAGAACTTGGAGGAATGGAGAAAAAGACTGGTGATCACAGTAACCACACAGCACAGACCTGCCAAGCCAGACTGATTCCAGTCATATTGTGCTCAACAGAAAATGTTTATATATGCTTAATATATGTACACATACACACATGAATGGTTTTGCATTTAAAAAAACCCACTGAAATAAAAGTGTCCTGAGCACACAGATCAAACAGCTAGTGCAGTATCCTAAAATTGTGCTGGAAGGTTACTGCAATTTCCATTCCAGACATCTGCCACATCCAGCCCCTTCTCCAAGCAGATGAAAACCAATGGAGCCAGACGATGATGAAAAGTTGAGAGGGCAATACAGTTAACACTTGCCCCTTAGAAAGAGAAAATGTGATTTTTTTTTTTGGCATAAGCGTGTTACCAGGACAGCAGCCACAGCTTTGCAGGGCCAGCACTGCTCCCAGCCAAGGCTGTAGGGGCAAGAGCATCCTGGAAGAGTTGACCTGGAGCTACTGCTGGAAGAACTGGCTGAAGGGAAACAGGCAGCCTGCTCTGCTGAGGAGGCARGTGGTTTTATTGAAATGGATGAGCAGCAATATTTGTGAAAGGAGGAGGTTGAGTTACTCATGGCTGAAATAAGTTTATTCAGCCTTTGATGGGAAAACTTTTGTCCAATACATTATTCACTGGCATTACACAACCAGTTCTGGAATGATTGTGTTTAGTCATACCATCTTGAAATGGCAGAAGGCCGGATTTGATCCAAGATTTGAGAATGTTTGAGATAATGTATACTGTCAGAAACATTTCTGTGTGTACTGGGACCCAAGGGTCTGCAAGAAACACCACTCATCCAGCTATAAAATAATTGTTTTTTCATGTAAGAAATATGGATAAAATATAATTAGAACAGGGCTGTAAGAAAATAAGTTTTTTTGGTGTAACTATCACTTGTGACCAACAATCCCAGTATTAAGTTAGGTGTTGTGTAAATTAAGTAAAGAGTTTACTCAGAATAGTCTTCAAATAATAGCTTGAAACTTAGATCTTTTCTTTTAAAAGTTTTCATAATTCTGGGTGAGCATCCATGTAAATGCAAACATTTACAACAGAGCTGCGAGACACAGTGCAGCACTCATTATTGTGCCATAATAAATAAACCCACTATTGCAGAATTGTGCATGACAAATTTGGGGTTTATGCACATGGATGTGATTAATAAAAATTGCAAGTTTCATAAATACACCYGAAAAGCAGTGGGTTTTAGTCAATTTATGGCTGAACTTGTCCCTGCAGTAACAATGGTCCTGTTGCTTAAATGATTGCCGCATTCAAAGCAGACACCACGAGCCCCATCAGCAAACACAGAGGCAWTGCAAGGCATCTCCAAGGGGCAGTGGCACAGTGCTGCTCTGTACCATTCTGCCTCCACTCACACATGCCTGGTAATTCCTGTCCCCTTCAGTACCATTTCCTTCTTAGCAAACTCCTGGGGCCACAGGTTAACCTGGAAAAACCCATTGTCATGTCTCTGGATGTAATAGTAATGGAAACCTGAAMACATTTCATCTGCAAACATCAGGAGGAGTTAAGCACCTGATTCACACCCTGTATATTCAGTTCTTTATGATACTGCAATTTGAAAATCCACCCACCCAGTCTGATAAAACATTTGACTATTCTTTCTCTGTAGCTGAGACAAAATTAGTARTGGGGTCTATCAATGACTCTCTGACTTACAATTTTTTCCCTTTTGCTGCCAACACATTCATTTTAAAATGAAAGATCTTATACAGTTTTCTAGGTTAGCGTGTGAATGGTGACTGGAAGCACTTGGTAACAATGATATCGCCAAAGTCTGCTACCTCAATGTGTAAACACCAAGCAGAGCAGTGATTTCATCTCCAAATGAGATGGTGTGTTTGCAGTGATAAAGGAATGACCAGATGTCTCCTCACTGAGCATYGCTGCTGGCTCTGCTCCTGAGCCAGTTTAAGTCAGCGTTGTGCTCTTGATGCCAGACATGCTACAGAGATTTAAGGCAGCTGAGGACCCATCCCACAGACTGCTGTTCCAGGAGGTGGTGAGATAGAAGGTAGAATGTTCTGGGATTCACCTGGCTAAATAACATATTCACTGGCATGTGGATCATCTGTGATTTTGCAGCAATGGTGAGAAGATGAAAGGCAAAAGGCTCCTTGTGCCACAGTTGGGTGATTTGGGCAGTAACAGTGAATGGGACAGGCACACTCAGATCTCAGGTCGGCCAGCTTCAAAATAAACATCTCTTCATCATCTCTACATCATAATGCAATGGAGTCCTGAACCAGATTCCTAAACAACAATCCTAGCAAACCAGTCAGCCAGACTCGCTGCAGGCTGAGAGAGATATTTTGATTCATCTCTTTGTGTGAAAGCTTTTGGTGCAGAGTGAAAGCAAAACCAGACCCCARAACTTGCCTCCCACAACCAGCTCCATGCCTTCCCCCACCTCAGAGCAAATCAGCAAGTGTTGAACCACCACGACTCAAAGAAAAAAAAAAAGTTAAGTGTTTACTTGCCATGATTGAGGCATCCAGAACAGATCAAAGTTCACACCCAGTTTCATAGTGGGACCATGACAAGGCAGACACTCTCATAAAAAAAATGAACCACAATGACTTCAATTCAGTCCTCTTTTCACCTTTCATAGGCTTTTCTATGATKCATATTCAAGCTACAGACTTCTAGCAAAATACAAGTTTTGATTACAAACTGGATTGTCTCATGAATRTTTTGCCAGCCTATTTGCATAAATTTGTTTTTCACCATGAACATTCCTTAAGGCATTAGAAACAAAGGTCAGCTGTAATTCTGAGCTCCACTCTTAAAATCCTCACTGAGAAAAGAAAATTTATGCAAAATGCGTGGAAATGTACTAAAATAGTAACAGTGTACAGAATTGTCTGCACATTATTATATTTGGAGTTTTAATTGTAAGGAAAAGGAAGTGCTGCAATGTTTACTGGAATKGCAAGCAAAACCAAGTGTTGCAATGTTTACCAGAATTTTGTCTTGCACAGTTTCAGTAACACAGAATATTCACCTACCATTACATCTCTACTCAGAGAGATTTCCTGCTGACCMTTCCTCCTCAGAAAGTCAGACCATACTTTTTATTGGATCTTTTTTGCAAAATCATGAGGCAGCACTGGTAGGTGGATGGGATGAAAACTCTCAAGTAATGTATTCAAAGGAATTTGTTTATACTGGACTTTGGAAGATCTATGGCACAGTTTAGTTTAACTTAACTCTGAAAGTCACATCCAGGTTTTGTAACACACAAAACTTTATTTTTACATTGATACCACTCTAAATCAGGACAGATAACCCTGAATTTAGCCTAAAAAGAATAAAATAAAGGTTCAAGTCCATAATTTTATAATTTCATAGTTGCTGCATTAACATAAAAAGAGGTTATTTCTGCTGCTTCAATGAAATGCCAAAATGTTTAAGGAAAACAAACAAACCTTGATTCTTGACAACATTTTTAAATGAATATTGTCTTTGCTTCTATATGGCAGAAAACAGAACAGATTGCTGTAGAATAAAAAGTGCAAAAATTATTCAGCATCTCTCATTGCTCCAATTGATTTGTACTATTAYTCCTACTTCCCCACCTCTTCCTCCTGACCTTCATTCAGAAGCTGCAAGTTAACAAATTATTCTCAGCTTTAGGTTCTATAAACTATTTCCATTCCCTGATGTTGTTGTGGAAAGCTCTTGTCTGGATTACAAGGTTTTCATGTTCAGTAACATTGGGGCACTGGAGAATTAAAAATAAATTAAAAGCAATGAGGAAGCTGTTACRGGTTGTATTTAGGATTTTAAGACCATAGTGAAAAATGTATGTCATAGTATGAAATCAGAAGGAGAAAAGGGCAGTATGAGAAGGATACAAGGCTACTGAATGGCTGTGGACAGAAAGAAAGCACTAAAAAAACATTTTCAGAGCCAAATTCCACCCTTGGATAGCAATGGAAACTTTTGAGAGGTTTAGAATAAACAGAATTATAAAATCAAATATGTGATTAAATTCCTCAGCTCTGCCAAAAGCAAGCAGCCCATTCCTTAAATGAAATTCACTCACCTGTGGATGATGTGGTATCTCTGCAAATAATCCAAGGAAAGTGCCAGCTCACAGATGTACARTTTAACAGTTCCTTCGTTAAAGTGGACATTCTGCTGCAAATGGTAACGCAGGTCACCTCCCAGCAAGAGATCAACCACCATGAACATGTCTTCTTCATCTTGGAAGGAATACCTGGAAGAAAGAGATATAGCTGACATCTCAGGGCAGATGATGTAGTCACAGCCATGCCTTGGGGTGGCTCTCATTAAGGAGATCCTGGTTTGCTCAAAAGGCAGGCACAGAGAGGCATTCTCACTTCTGTGGTCCAATCCTGCAAACAGACTTTGRCTGTGGTGGGACTCTGCATATTTGAGTGTTGTGCTTTAACCCCAGGGATAACTAAATACCATGCAGATGCTCACTCACTCCTCTTTCTGCCAGTGGGTTGGGGAGGAGAATCAGAAAAATGTAACAACTTGTGGGTTGAGATAAGAACAGTCGAGTAATTGAATAAAAGTAAAGTATAGTAACAGTACTAATGATAAAACCAGTAATAATTGCAATGAAAAGGAGAGGAAGAAGTAAAACCCAAGAAAAACAAGTGATGCACAACACCAGTGCTCACCACCCCCTAACTGGTATCAAGCCTGTCCCCCAGCAGTAGTGAGCCCTTCCCATCCAAACCCCCCAGTTTATATGAGCATGATAGTTTATGGTGTGGAATATCCCTTTGCACAGTTCAGATCAGCTGTCCSAGCTGTGCTCCCTCCCAGCTCCTTGTGCAKCTCCTCTCTGGCAGAGCAGAGCCACTGAACAGTCCTTGGCTTAGGGTGAGCACTACTGAGCAACAGCCAAAACATCAGCGTGTTWTCAACATAATTCTCACCCTGAATTCAAACCACAGCACCGCTCTAGTGAGAAGAAAACTAATTTTATCCCAGCTGAAAGTGGGACATGAAGGCAAGCAGAGCTTGAACTACTGCCATACTACTGTTCTATTTTGAACATGGATTAACACCTGCACATTGATAAAATAGTATTTAAAATATCTATATGGCTTTTACACTCCTAAATAACCATATACTCATTCAGGCAACCAAATGCCTTAGAAAATATTAACAATAAAATGGAAGGCCTTGAGGCACACTTGGTATTCACACACATACAACTCCAGTTCTTATGGAAAGTGTTCTGGCAGCATCAAGACCTGCTCTCCCTGGGGTATTTTCCAGATTCAAAAATATACACAGTGTTCTATTAGCTGAGTATTTTTTACAGCTTAAAGTGTAGGTCCAAATTCAATAAGGAATAAAACTGCAATTTTACTGCCTAACAATGCATATTTTTTAAAGTCAGCAACTTATATCTTATAAAATGACAGAGTCTTCATGGTTACTGACTGAATTCTTCTGGACCTTTTCCCAGAACTGCCTGCTGAATACTCTGAGGACCAAATTTTGATCTGATTTAAATCCTGTAAATCCAAAGGTGTAGCCAGTGAATGTACAATATATGTATATATATATATATACACATATATAGTGCTTGGGCAAGCAGGAATTTCCATGTGTTTCTACTTACCTTGGCTGTGCTGCCATTGCTCTGGTTTTTTGCTGTCTGAGTGAACTGACAGGAACTCTCTGGATTTTGTTTCTGAATGCAACTGTATAAGGTACAGTTTTTTAGTTTTCCCCAATGGGGAATGGTAAATACCTTATTTCTGATGTGAAACCACTCTTTCCTTAGAAATAGTTTTGGAATTAATTTTGATGTGAAGTTATATAATCTTATACCAGACATAKAGAAAGTACTGAGAGTGATCCACAGTGATAGTGCCTCTTCCAGTACCTTCTCTCCCTYGAGGTGTGTAATATATGTTGGTTAACGATGTGATTCAGTTCTCCTGAACTGTAAAATTTATGCCAAGGAAATGAAATAGAGTGGGCTTCCAGCAAATCTGTGCACACCCTCCCCCCAGAGGCAGAAAAGTCTATATTAGATTATTTTAATTGACAGTTACGTGCAGTTTCACTTTCACTCCCAGGCTTGCACTTACTGAAATGAGGCACTGCTTAGGGGCTGCCACAGATGGTTCATTTTGAATTTAATGCTTGCTATTCTTTCTGAACACAGTTCTGAGAAGCAACYTTCTCTCATACTCTGCTCTTCTGTTGCACTTCTGTGTGACTGCCAAATGCCAGGAGGGAAAAGTCATTTTATTTGCATTAAACTTACTTCTCAATAAGTCAAACCTCTGAAGCAAAATGGTAAAGTAGRTGGCTCATGGTGTCTGCTCACCTCTGGAGATGCAGAATTTTGTCACACACAATCACATATGCATTGGTTTTTTAACCAGAGGCCTCAAATATATTCAAATTCCTCCAAATATTATGTGTTTCTGAACCTGAAACAATTGCTGAAGCAAAGCTTAAATGTGTAGCTACATTTAAGAATTTGTTTTTCCTTTTTTTGACACTGTTGTTATTTTAAGTGAAGAAACTGTAGCATCTAGCAGAGGTGGAATCATCATTATAGAATGGCTTTGCTTAGAAGGGATCTTAAAAATCATCTCCTTCCAATTTCCCTACCATGGGCAGGAACATCTTGCACTAGACCAGGTTGCTCAAAGCCCCATCCAACCTGGCCCTGAACACTTCCAGGGATGGCTCAGCCACAGTTGGTGATGCTGTTCCAGTGTTAAGTTTTTCCTTCAGTTACCACTTGAGTAAGGCACAGATTTTGTTTGTTTACTTTTTAATTATTAAAAAAATTAACATAAAAATAAATCACAGATTGAAAACCATACTTAAATGGTAAGTGAAACACTGTGTCTTTTCTGGGACTAAAGAGCACTCCTGGTGCCTAAAATCACACGATTACATTTTCACCCCAAGTGTATTTTTGAACACAGGCACTCTGGGTTTCTGTGCTTGTGAGGGGAAATGGTGATCCTTTGTCACCTCCTAAGCAAGCTTTGGTGCATCTGTAATTGTCAATGATTTAAAAGAGAGATCAAACAAAGTTTTCCTACAGGGCGGAACCATTTCTGCCTTGGGACTCTCAGGGCCTCGGGCATCTCTGGAAATCCAGGCTGGGATGGCAATAGAAGGATTTTGTCCAGGGGCTGTCAGATTTGCTAGTGAATCATTGGTCTCCTGCTACTCTGCCTTGCTCTCAGGTAAAATTAAATGCTATCCCTGCAGACAGAGCTACAAGGCTTCCAGAAGTGGCTGAACCTCTGGATTAAAGTGTTTTGGACACAAACACACAGAAACCAAAACAAAATAACCAAATAAACAAAACCATCAACAAAACAAAACAAAAAAAAAAAAAACCCACCCTAACAGTATCAGAACTGAACTGGGAGATACACAGAAGTGTGGGTAATATTTGAACTTGGCAGCCTTCCCATGTGGAACATTCTTCAGATTTGTCTGGTCATCTTCTCTAGATCATGGTTTGCCAACAAAGCTGGAGCAGATGATCCTTGAGATCCTTCCACCCTGGTATTCTATGAWTCTGTGGTCTTTCATGCCCTGTGGATGCAGCACAGGTCAGTTTAATTTAGATGTTGAAGGCAGAATGACACACATCAGGACACAGCTGTTGAGAAGCTCCATATATCCTCTCCAAAGTTTGACTCCTCCACTCAGGGCCAGAGTTGGGATTTTTTTGTTTGTCCTCATGTGTCTGTGGTAACTCTGCTGACCCTGCCAGAAGTGTTGTGGATACTGGTGTAAGTAAAACCTGAGCTGTATTTGTATTTAACTGGGTTAGTTAAAACCTGAGGGATGGTTTGAATGAACGTGTGCATGGRTGTGTTCAGTGTATCAGCAGGGTTTTTTTATCCCCTCTAAATCCTATCACACCTGACATCATCATGATGCTAATCCTACACCCCTTCTCATGGATAGTGGTGTCTTCCCTGCACAGCTGATCCAGTTGGGTCACACCTTCATGGGTGGCATTTCTCTGACTGTGTGGATCAGACCGCAGGGTGGTTCCAAGATATTTTTCTGGAGGATAAAGCAGTCCATCTCAGTGAAACTGAGTCTRTGACCTAGAGGAGAKMTTGTGYATGGCAAACAGGAGAAGGTCTCTGMAGCTGATAGATGCTCCACTAAGCAGATCCTGTAGATACCAATTTCTGATGCAGCTCTAAACTACCAAACACAGARCAGGAGTTTCTCCAGGTCCTGTTGTGCAGGCGGGTAAGAAATGGAATAGTTTTCCTCCTACCCTGCATTAGCAACTCACAGGGCTTTGTGTACCAGCCTAGACAAGTTTGGTTTTCCATGGTCATAAGCAATCTAGTCACATATCTGTCTCTCTCTCACAAATCCAGTATTCTTTCTTTACATAAGAAATGAAATATTACCTTCATTTTTTTTTTTCTATTCCAATATTTCAAGAAATAAGAGCTTTTGATTTACTGGTTTAAGAATTCAAATAGACAAATGAAATATTGGCCATGGGAGAAGTGAATCTTTGAAAATGTTGCTGCAGGTTGGGGAGGGGCTGATGGCAAATCAGWCCAGTGGAGATTAGGTTTTGAACAAACACTGTAATTTTACTTTTGTAAGCTTCTTATCTGCTCAAAGGTAAATGACATACCAAAGGGTTGATTGGTTTTTCARGTAAACTCAGAGGTTGTTTGGGATTTTTATGCTAACCAGGTAGCTGAGAAATGCCTACTGAATGAATTGTAAAAATGTGACTTATATTGAATATTAATCAATTGATATTGAATACCAATAATACATTACTAGCTTTCCCTAAAGACAGTATTTTAATCCTCCTTGAAATGAAAGAATAAATGACTTAAGGTAATAGTTCTTGTTTGTTTAAGTAGTGTCATTATCCAGTAATAGGAAAACTGGTCTAATTACAGATCCAGCCTCTGCTTTCTCTTGGTTGAAAAAAGTTTTAAGGTATTAGAATCACCTTTCTCCAAATTAAGATAAAATAACAAAGCCCATAGCAACAGGGAATTGACTTTTTGATTATCTTCAGACTGGAAGATAAACTATTATTGAACATAGCCCTTGATGGAAACGCATTTAAACAAAGCACTCTTTGAATAAGTCATGTGTTTCCACATTTATATCTGTATATTTGTTTTAATAATATCTAATTTTTGTATTTATATCCTATTTGTATTTATTATATTTAACTCTGTCTTCATAAAAGCA